GGATTCTTCTGCTCTGCAACATCAAAAGATACAAAGCATGTTAGCAGATTGTTTCTTTCAGGTGCTCCATGACCATCTGGGTAAATTCAGAAGCAAGGGAAGCACTATTACTGACCCCGGTTTAATTCAGGACATCCACCATTCAACAAAGTACTCACACAGGTGTAAAAAAACAGAGACAATTTTCCAATATAATGTACAGAAGAAATAAAGGATTGAGAAAAGATGCAGCTTACTTTTTATGACCCCCACCAGTGAGATCTGAAAGTAGATTTGGGAGCAGAAACAGGTAAATTAACACTCTTCCTGAGTGAATCCCCACACTACTCCCCACATAAAAGGAACATTGAGGCTCTGCATGTAACAGGAACAAGCCTGAACTGCTATTCCCCCAGAAGAGGAAAGAAAGGGACTGGTGCCTGTGCTGGCATGTGAGTGAGGATGAAGAGAGAGGAGCTTTCACAGTAAATATTATAGAAGCCAGAAGCTGTTACAGGGCCTCTCTATAAAATGAGGCACTGCAATTCCTGAATTCAGTTGTTTGCAAACCAAATGTAGCTATTAATCCCATATAAATGGGCAATTAGTTCTCTTCTAACTTTAGGGTAAAATCACAGGTCAGTCTGTTCATCAATAGAAAGTCACTGAGGTTTGATTCCTCCCACTTATATACTGTCCAGCTGAACTGGAGCAGAGGGTAAAGTAAACAGCACTCACATGAAGGCAAATGTAATACAAAAAATGTAGGGAATTTATTTTCACTCCTTCAGTGTACAATGCACATGCTGCAGTCTCAGTCTGTACCCTGACATCAATCTTCAGACAAATCTCTCACCCACCTTTGATTAAATATTTGGATTTTAATCTCTATTTCCATGGCTGGATATGAATGGGGCAGCAGTTACATTTTAGCTTAGTCTGCAACCAATTTATTTATTCTAAAAGGTTGATGTTTAATTGTTGGGGCTCTATGCCCTTACAGAACCCTGAAATCAATGGCATTTTGGCCTGAAAGCAGAGGGCTCATAGCAAGATGCCATCTTCAGTGCAAGAAAATGCCCTTAAACCTTCTGGGAGGGGAGAAAATGCCTTAAAAGTACTGTCCTCATACACGCAGACAGAAAATGCAGAGACATTTTTTTCTTGAGGACTGTGAAGCTGCTCTGTCCTACTGTGGGCCAGTTTCTCCTGAAGAAGATGGAAAGCCTGTGTACATCAGTGGGTGGAAATGAGGATGTATTTTTAGGGAAAAAAAATTCTACTTTAAGAAAGGGACTTTGGGTCCCAAAAGATCACAAACAATCATTTCTGTTGAAGCAAATGAATGTGCCACAGGATTGATTTTCTCATACAATTGGGAGCATTTTCTATAATCCAGATTAACCATTGTCCAGAGAAAACAGTCCTTGAAAAGCACCAACAACTTCATGCACAGCTTGAAGCCTCTGAAATGGACTTGTAAGAATAATAATCAATATTGTCCAACAGGAAATTAATGTCAATGGGGGTTTTTTTTAAGAAGAAAAATATTCTAGTAGGAAACAGGGGCATTTTCTTCTGTTCCAGAAATGTTTTGTAATATGGCATCACAGACCACTACTGTAATTCTCTCAACAAAACAAATTATCCAGGTCTATGATTAAGCAGACAAGAGGGGTTTTAAACATTTCGCTTTCGTCCTTTCCTTTTACTCGCCATAAATCAAAGCAGTAATTTTGCAATACCTTTTTCTTCAAACGCATGACAGCAAAAATAATCTGGGATTGTACAGACGACAGCTCTTGGACTGAGCAACGATTGGGGGCAAACTGTTGTAGCCCTGCCAGAAAAGTGGGAGTGAGCAGAGATAGGAGGAACATGGGAGTGTGAGAGGGAAAAGAAAGAAAATTTTGGGTGATGGCACTTAAGGAATAAGTCATTTTATCCACCTTTCTAGAGTCTAAGGAAGGAATGCTGCCCCAGTTTGTTTACTACACATATTCAAACAGCTCTTGCCTTCACATATGGTGGCTCAAGACCCCCTTTTGAAAGGTGCCCAATAATTTTGCATGTTTAGTGTCTGCTGAGCCACTGAGGCAGGTACTGCTTCTGTGCCCAGGCTGGGTGAACACAGGTGGCTCCAGGGAGCAAAGCTACAACAGCAACACTCAACCACATGGGAGTGAGATTGGAGAGAAGCTCCTTTGGTTTCAGCAGTGCTCCCATTGCCACATCTCCTGGACTCGCAGGCATGGACACAGGAGTCCAGCTGTCCCCCAGGGACAGCAAGCTAGGGCAAGCTTTTCTGCACCAGGAATAGACAGCAAAGGGAACTTAGCAGTCCAAGGTGCTTCGTGCTGACCAGCTGCTGTGTCACTGCCTCAGATGCTGTTGACATCTGCAGAGGAACTGAGAGCATGGTTTTCAGCAGGCAGTGTGGGCAGAGTCCTGGAGCCAATGGGCAGATTTAACAGCAAATCCACATAAAGGCATTCTATTTTCAGCTGAATAAGTGTTTCTTTTGGTAAGGTTTTGTCTGTCCCAATAGTCTTCCTGTCACCCAAAGTCTGAAAAACACACTTTGTTCATCTGTCAGCTTTTACATCCATCAGTCCTAGGGTCATTTGATGGTAAAGAAGCTGCCATTTCTCACTTATTTTAAATGTCAGATGACAGGCATTCACACTAATTCATTCCATCCACATTTTTCTTAGCTCAGCTTTTATGGCTCTGTTTGTGCTAAGCATTATAGAAACTCTTTCTAGCTGTGCTCAGTAGTTCCACCAGAAATGATTCATTGAACTTTGAACAAGTGACAGACAACTACTCCTCAGATTCTTGGTGTTTCTTGGGAACAAGGGCCTTTCATTTGTATTTGATGCTTTTCCTCTCAGTATTTTGAAACAGGCTTGAACTGCTGTGTCCTTTCCTTCCTACTGTAACTAACCCTCCCCCAAACTTATCCCCACACTGAATACTGCAGGCATTGCATTATCTTCTAGCATATCCTTTACTTCTCCTACAGCTAAGCTTTTCCAATTAGCAGTGATTACTGCTTCTTTATTAGTGGGGCAGGAGCATGGGCTGAAGGTGGTTGACAGATTCTGGGTTGGAGCACAGAGGGCACACACATTCTCAGAGCATGTCCTCATCACCACACAGCCCTCAGAGAGGAAGAGCCCTTTGCAGAGGAAGATCATATCACCATCCCTATCTTATTGCTGGGGAAACTCCAAGCCCAGAGGGCAAAGCAGCTTCCCTGCAGTCACCCAGGAGGGCTCAGAGCAGGATCCAGCCCTCTCCCCTTCCATCTGGCTGCTCACTCCAGGAGACATGGTGCTTTGGCAATGAGTCACAGTCAAGAAATGAGAAACTTCAAGTTAGAATAACAAGATTTGGTATCAAAAAGCATGTAAGGATGGACACACCTAAATGCTTTTCTGGATCAGAACTGATATGACTGAAATTTGACAGAAAAAAAAAAGGGTTATTTAAAGAGAAGTTTTAGCTGATGAAAATAAGACGGTGTAAAAAGCTTTTGTGGATCTATAATATTAATTAATATAAATGGCTTTGTTCATTTATATGAAATGAAAGTAATTTTTCTAGTAGTTCACTTCCTTCATAAAAATCTTCTGTTACGTATTAAAATGCCTGATTAGGGCTTTTGGGTCATCACTGCCATTCTGCTTTAGTAGATGTGTGTTTCTAACATCTGATGAGAAGGTTCAACCATGCTATTACTCATGTGGGTTGTTTGGCTGGCTCCACTATCCTTAATCTGAATGAGTAATAGATCCAGGATTGACCCTTTCACTTTGGTGAAGACTGCACTAGTAATTAATTTTTTTCTAAGTTATCTCGATACTATTTTGAAACATGACAGATGAGCTCACACTAATAAGTAGGATGCTCCCATTTTAACTCCTGCAGCCTGGCTCTATAAATGCTTACACACATAAACAGAGTTTTACACATCCCCATACCTTTAAGCACAGGAAGATGCCTACAACATTCATAATTTAACAATGCATTAAATTTTGAAATTTAAAACTACTGATGAGCAAAGAGAAAGATCCACTTCTAAGTCAGTCCTTAAATCATCTAAACTGAACAATAAAAAAGGTCCTGATATAAATTAAACCAGTGGGTTTGTAAATACAGAAGTAC